GCTCCGGGCGGCCAAAGTGGCTGACCCGGAGCTGCGGTTCAATCCTCGTCGTGGTGCCGCGGACTCGCGTCGTAGCCACCGATCGAGCCAGAATTCTCGGGTGAGAAGTTCATCATGTCCGTGGGCGATAGACTGTCCTGTGGATAGTAGAACGAAGGATGGTCCGAACTCGGGCCGGCCGCACCGCCACCACCGTTCAACATCGTCGCCGGCGGCGAGACCGATGGTCGCGACGGACCGGCACCCGTGCCCGGGTGATGCTGCGTGCCAGTCAGATCGGCACTTACCGGTGATAAGAAGTTCATCTCGGTGCCGCCGTCACGGCACCACAACTGCCGCATCTCCTGCCGCCGCTGCCGCATCAGTGACTTGTATTCGGAGATACGCATCTTTTTGCCGTCCACGATACACGTGCGCTTTGGCCGCGGCCGGTACCTGTAGTCTGGGTGCTTTTCCATGTGCAGCTTCGAAAGTCGCGACTGTTCCTCGTAATATGGCTGTTTCTCTGAGTTTGACATCGACTTCCACCGGGCACCTGTAACCGATATAAAAAAAATATGCGTTGAAGTAGAACACGTTTCGCGTTCTCCGATAATTTTTCACATAAATTAAATTAAATCAAATCGAATAATTTTCCATTGTATTCTTTGCTTGCGATTTATATTTTTGAGTTTTAATACATATTTGCGAAATTTTACATTTGTGTCATATTAATCGTTGAAGTAATAAATTTATGATATAAATAATTGATATGTGTAATTATATAATTTAGTACAATAATGTAGATAAATTAAGGCTTACTAAAGGTGTAATTATAAAAGTACGGTAATTATAAAAAGTTTTCTGTAAAGAATATAAGAGGAGCAGACTTTCAAAATGCGTTTTATCCAAAATTTGTAATTTTCAGAAAACAAGAAAAAAAAAACTACGTGCACAAGAAAATTACGAACTTTACAGAAAATAACAATATGTCAATTAGGATGTGAAATATTAAACAAAATTGCTAAACAAGTACTAAAAATGTTAAGCAAATGTATTTTGTTTGTCTCTAATTAAAAAACATAATAAACTTCGTAATGTGTATGTTTTTTCAGCATATAAATTAATGATGAAAAAATGCTTTCTGAACATCTCAAAGTAGCTTATAATATAAGTCTTTCAACACTGAACATTACGCCATCTTTAACTAAAAAAATGAAATTTTGAACAAAACATTTTGAAAGTCTGCTCCTCACATATCGTTACTTCAAAAGTAATACAGCTAAAGAAATTAAATTTTTCAGAAAAGTGAAAAAACTTTTTCAACAATAGGAAATTAACTAATTCAATAATATCATGAAGATGAATATATTTTTAAAAACACGATCAAATAGGATCACTTTGATTATTTTTTGTTTCAGAATCCTTAAAATATAATACCATCCTTTTTGATATCGTATAAAATTATGACAAATCCAGAATGAGTCAACATCAAATGTGACATAACTCGAAATATCACCAAGAATTTATATTTATCTTGATGAGCTAAAATTACTAAATCTAAAATAAAATATTTTCTTCAAACTTTAAAACTGTCTTAACTTTAAATGTTCTCTATAAAAGACTATCCTAAATATTCTTATTTACAAAAATGATACATTTCAAGATGTGTCACTCTTGTAGAAGGTATTATGTATCTCTTTGAAAACTTTTTAAGGACTATTTGGCACACAAGTGCTATTTGGCGAACGGACTGTAAAATTAAGTTTACTTTTGATGATTGATAGAGTAATCATTACTTAATTAAATTCATGGCAATAACTCGAAAATCACATTTTTAAGTTGTATGACTTTTGAAGTAAGGGAACGATATTTATTCCATAATTACATCCATCAGAAAAATCGTTTATAGTTGAAGCATCAACTGCAATCGTGTGAGTGACGTGTATGGATCGGGTATGCTTACCGAGAATTTTCGATATGTTTGAGTTGTGCATGTCTGGGCAGGCTTTCAAGATCTTCCTACGTTCATCCTTGGCCCACACCATGAATGCGTTCATAGGTCGCTTGATATGTGGCTTGTTCTCACCCTCCCTTTTCTGCTGCCTCACCATTTTAGCTGAAGAGAAAGAGAAAAAGAGACGGGGCGTTAGATGTCACGTCGTCGTCGAGATTCACGATACTCTCGTGAGAAACGAATCTGATTTCGCGAGGGCGTCACTTGGCGCTCTCAAAACAAGAGCGTAATAGTAGTCTAATCGTTACTCATAGAAGTGCTTACCTTTTTCCGTTATGTCTTCCGCTACTTTATATCCCGGATCTCGCCACACTGCAATTTTAAAACCGAATCATATATACAAGATATACGACGTTAAGTGCGAGACTATTATGCATAATTTATAATATTAATACAATCATTATAATTAATATTATATATGCACATCTTAAAATATTATTTATATTTTTCTCAAAAAGAAAAAGAAAGAATTTACATAATATTAAATTATTATAGTTTTTATATGCTATATGCGCATTTAATCTTATTTCTTTCAGTCTTGATTTTAACTTGATTTTGACTTGAATTTATATGAGATACTATCGCATTATTTCAAAAAAGTCTGAAAAATCTGACTGAAAAATCTGGAGATTCTACATTTGTAAAAAAATTTACGCTACGTTCGAAACTATGTTAAGTGTTCTTTGTATCTGCTTCGCGATCCGTCTCGCGATTACCGCGACGCTCGTTCCTCCACGTCCACTTACTGTGAGGCGTCGAGAGAAAATCCTGCTCCTCCTGAGGCGGTTCCTCCCGAGAGCCAGAATGCTTGATCGGTCTTTGAGTCTGGGCCGACGGTGGCATCCCACCTGTGTTCGACGGCAATCCGTACAGCCCGTGCATCGCGAAGTGCTTTTCCACGGCCGCGACCGCAGCGGCCGCCACGGATCCTCCCGGTCCGCCGGCCTCGTCTTTGGCCATTACCTTGCCCACTGTAACGGGTTACCGGAGAAACGGAGTGAAAGATGCGTAATAGAGATACGGGAACGAAAGAGTTCACGTTTTTAAGATATACTTTACAGATATCTTTTAAGATATACAGAGTAAGATGTATAAAGTACAGAGATATGTGAAAAACAAAGACAAAGCAGAGAATGCGATATTCCTGATTTTTTACGCGATGTGAGGTCAATTTTGCTTTTAAAAAAATTTTATATTTGAGACTTTTACGCGTCTTATGTTAGTTCTTTTATTTCGTTAGTTTTAGTAGTCCTTCGCAAACTATCCTGAATTTCACCACTTACAAGGGAACCGTCGAAACTGTCCCTTATCGATTTTGATGCGCTTTTTGCATGTTATAGACTATTATAGAATATCAAAAAATATTAATAATATTAATAAGACCCGTATTTTTTTATTTGCTTATCTCAAGGTTGTAAGAATCTCTCAAAAATAATGGATTGTTTTTCATTTTCATCGAAATATCTTCAAAACTATGAGGTATATGAAAAAGTATTCTGTTTTATATTTTATATAAAATGTTCTGTTTTAGGTTTTATATTTTATACTTTTAATAACGGCATATTCACATTAAAAAGTTTTTTTTTCGAAATTTTTAATTTCCCCTCATTTTCAGTTGTTTCGAGACTGTTGAAACTTCGAAATAAACAAATAAAAAAATAGTTCTAATATTTTTTATAATCATATTCAAAATCTATCAAAATTGGACAGTGCTGGACAGTTTCGACAATTTTCTTGACGATTAGTCAGACTACCTGAATCGTTGAGGGACGGTTTTTCAAAAAATATTCGCTTTAAAAAAAATTTGAAAAAATTCTGATATACTCTTTCAATATTTAGGAATAATCGTCTGGGTCTTCAAATCCTCACATGATCTGCGGAGGATTAGTATTATAGCTAAACAAGACATTAGAACTTTTTGAAATGAAAAGAAATAGTCTGTGAAAAGAAATAATGAAGAGCTATCGTCCGATTGCGCTTGTAAAATAAATATTATTTTCAGAATCGTTTGCAGGAATTTTTTTTTCGCAACCGGATCCTTAACATAATGCCGAAGTTTAGACATGTTTTTTAGTGCTCCGTGTATGTCGCGGACGAAGTAACGCGCGGCGATTGCCACGCAAAGAGATTCGTTCTCAACGTTACAATGACGGCCTGCGGATCTTCTTCCCTTCCTCGCTTGTGCGAATCGCGCGTCGCGCGGCCCTTATCGGGCGGAATCGCGTTACGCATCGTTGATTACGAGTATACGCCGCGGTACCCGTGGCAAAAACCAGATGGCAAGTGAAACAGGTTCTCCGGACGGCGAGCAGCCGTGGAAAAAAAACCCGGCCGCGGACAATCGGGAAAACTAGCCTGCTCGAAGATGATTAAGTGTTCACCGCCGGCATGAAATCGCATACTCCGGAGGGTATCGCATACACCGACCATGCCTTTCTCTCTCGGAATCCACTTGCGGCAATCGGCAATTTGCAATTGTTCCGCGGGATGAACGCGTCGCGTAATCGGCGCAACCGCGAGTTCTGGTAATGCTCGGATCGCAACAACGGGCGTTACTTTAATCGTGGTAATTCGGATGAATTCACGAACGGTCGGTCGATTATAATAGGTACGCAATTTGTGAAACGCGATGTAGTGAGAGCGCACACGTATATCGCATAAAGATAATTAACCGTTGTGAATAGCAACAATCTCTACAGAATATCCGCGAAATGTCATTTCGACACGATACTCGACTTCATCGCTCCTCAACAGCCGGTGTAATCCTACAGGCTTCATTCTACTCTCACGCCAAGCGATTAAAGCGAATGATCACGAATGTTTCACTCACTCGGCGAAGACAGACTGCTGAGATGCGGTGGTAGACCGGCGTAAGAAAGCGTCGGCAGGTAATTCCGCGGTATCGGCAGTCCTGACGGGAAGAGCTTGGGCGCGGTCGCCGCTAATGGTTGCTCCTGCTGGCCGCTGCTTCCGGCACCGGTCGAGTGCGAGTCGCTACCGGGCGACGAGGAAGACGCCGTGGCGCCCGAGGACGTCGATTTCGGCTTGGTGAGGTTCAGCGGGGCGTCGAGATCCTGAAGAGGCGGGGCCGTCGGCGCTACCGCGGATGAGATCGGCGCCGGCGACGACGATTCCTTCTCCATTTGCGTTGTCATCTGAGCGAGATGCGCGGTCGCCCAGCTTGGACCTTCTCGATGGCTGCTGATCATCTGCGAACGAATGAAAAATCTCAGGAACGTCAGACTAATGAGTTGGAATTTCTCGATCGGAATAGTACTAATGTTAACCCGGTGTTACTAATATGAAGTGAAATTTATTAAAGTTTAGCTAATTTAAGAGCTCAAATCAACGTGAAATTTTTAGAATACTTGGAACTAAGTTTGGTTCTCAGACGAAATTATACTAATAAAATTTATGATTCAAAAGTTATTAAAAATTGTTTTTATTACAAGAATAGAGCAATTGTAAAAATAATACTATATTTATATATATATATATATATAATATTCGAGTCGCATATATTCCGCCTTAGTAACAAATTGAAACTGTATACATTTGTTTTTTAATAAATGTCAGGATTTTAATGTTTTTCTCATAATTAGATTTTTATATCTCTAAAACGAGCACTCTTGCAGAAATCCAATTTAATACTGAAAAATAGTGATTAATTATTATTTATTTTGAATATTAAGGCTCGTATATCTTTTGCAGCTACATTAGTTATGTGACGTCAAAAGCGAGAAATGACATTCAATAAATTAATTTGATACGTACAGTATTATTTTTAATTTTCTCTTATAAAAATAATAATTTCATAATTTTGAAACCTGTAAAGTGTAAAATATATGGCAAACTACTATTATCCACTATTTCACGTAGAAATGTAGCTATCACGGTGGTTCCTGACAATTGAGAAATATACTATTATTTCAAGAATCATTTTACAGGAAGTATTTTTCCATGTAACATACCGGACAAATCTCAGTTCGCCACATATTTTGTAAGTTTCAGGATCATGAAATTATGTTTTAAAGAAAAAAAATAATTTCATAATTCTGAAACTTACTGAGATTTGTCCGATAGCTGTGTCTAGCAATTAATTAATTGTATGTTATTTATCGCCTCTGACGTCATACAACTAATAGAACTGCAAGAGATAACGGAGCCTTAATAAAAGCACTGTTCAATGCTTAACAAGTAATTGATTACTACCTTCCTAATATTAAATTTCTGTAATAACAGGTATACCGAGAAATAACTAATATGGCGAAAATAGTGCGTGATATTATGAAAGAGCGAGCGTTACATGGAGCTATGACCGATACAGGAGATATCGATAATCACCGGGTCACGTACATTGGCGATGGAGTTGATGTGTTTGTTGCCGGTGGTGGCGGTTGACGTGGCTGGCGGTGGAGGCATGGGTGACTGCACGGGCAGCCCTCTGAGCTGTTCGAGAAACGGCAGAAACATCAGTGACTGTGGTCCCGACATGCTCAGCTGGCTCTTTGTCATCTGAGCCTGCAACTCCTGGATGTTGTGCTGCATGATGTGCTCTTGCTGCCGCTTCAAGTGCTCCGTTTGCAGCCGCTGCATCTCGATTTGCTTCTGCGAGTCGACCGTCATGTGAGCGGGATACGACTGTAAAAGCACACGGACCACTAATTAAAGGGACGCTGTGCATGCCGGCTCTCATACAGAGGAGTTGTGAGATCCCTTGCACGCCATCGCGAGGGTGGACCGTTCCACCTTGACAGCGGCTTATCCGCGTGCCTCGTGGATGAAATACGTCGGACGTATTGCCGAGACAATGCGAGTGTGAAGTAAATTGCGCGACGCGATTGCCACTTTATGCCGCCAACGACTCGATGCGTCGTAAATACCGTTTTGGGCTCCCTCGTTATATTTTGCCTATATATACTTTAGACTTCGAGCGAACGACTGCGAATAAGTACGTTATTATATGCGCAGTTGCCCGAACGAGATTTCTTTTTTGCTTTACCGTCAAAAAGATTATGCAGCGGAAAAATCATTTAGACTTTTTAACAACCTGACGCAATTCCACACTGTAAAAAAATTACATATAAAATTATTCATTTATTGATTTAATATTTAATATAAAATTATAGTGCGTAAATTTGAGACTTACTATTAAAAGTGTATATTTACACGTAAGTAAAGTTACAACTTAGATAATTATTTTTCTTTATAATAAGTACAACAAACATCGCAAAACATTTTGCAAAAATAAATTTACAAAAATATTTAAGTTTGCAGAAACATTTATCATAAAATAATTCTCCAGCGAATTACGTACAATTATTTTTCTTAAACTATATGTACATATGTATATATATGAACGTAAAAATGCAAATAATGTGTGGTATTACTATTATGTTATATAGTATTACACAAATTTGTACATTTAAATAAAAACTATATAATATTTTTATTGTTATAAATTTTATTGGTAGCAATTTCTCGTCTAATATAAATTTATTAATTTTTGTTAAAATGCACAGTTTTTCATATATTTCTACTATAAATTGTGTAATTTTTACACATATTATTTATACAACTTCACATACTTTTTTACAGTGCAGAAACATTCTAGACGAATACTTTGTTGCTTGAATGTATAATTACAACGTGCATTATGAATAGTTGCACCATATTTGCAAAATATTTTTTAGTTTTTAATGATATTAATTATATAAGTTCAGCTAACGAGGTCATTATGTTACATTTATATAAACTTATATAAACACTACGTTATTTCTTTTATTCAAATTAAATAAAAAAATTGTTTTGCGTCGCATTTCAATTTTTACTGATTTCGTAATGCAAAAATTTAAACTGTAAAAAAAATCGGTGCTTCTCGATGTTAACAAATCGACAATTCGAACGACTATTTCGAGTAGTCTATCTATTTTTACTTTTGATTTTTTTATTTGAATAAAAATCTTTTATAAAATATGCTAATTATAAATATTTGTTTAAAATATAACTTTTTTAACTTTTTTCATCATGAGATACTTTTATACTGACATAACTGAATATAAAGAGGTGGATTTATTAAAAATTTCGCGTTCCAAGTTATCAAAGGTGTTTTAATACGAAATATATATTACGATGCCAGTCATAAATGCATACTGATAAATGTAGTAATATATAATAGCACGTCAAAAAGATGATTACTTCATAACCAAGTAGTTAAAGACCTAATTGCGTGTGTGACTGGTAATATCACGCGATTAAGCGGTTCGCAAGCCAAGTGCATCGCCAGCAAATTTTTGCGATTAACGTTGTATTAATAGCTTTGAAGAAGCATGCCGACAACGCGTTTAAACGAGCGAGGATCCGATCCACCCTCCATAGGAACGCAACAGTTTACGCGACAAATATCATTGTACTTTCCTACGTCCTGGCTACGATCCAGATATGTGTGGAGTTTATTTTAGACGATAAGGAAGACGTTTATTCATCCAGCCTGTGCACCAGCTGAGATGTCACGCGCGCGCGCGCGCGCGCGACGCTGGATGCACCCGCGGTCGCC